CTTTATAGATTTCAAAATTAACTTGGAGATTTGTTTTTCTCCACCTACGTTCAGCTTTTCGACACTCTTTTTTCTGTTCTCACGGTCATGGCCTTTCTCCATCAATCAATCAATTAATGTTTATTTATATAGCCCAATATCACAAATGTTACATTTGTCTCAGTGGACTTTACAGTTTGTACAAAATATCAGTATGACAATACGACACCCTCTGTCCTTAGACCCTCACATCGTACAAGGAAAAACTTCTGAAGAAAACCCACAGTTTAAAGGGAAAAATGGGAGAAACCTCAGGGAGAGCAACAGAGGAGGGATCCCTCTCCCAGGACGGACAGACGTGCAATAGATGCCGTGTGTAAATTGAAAAGATAATACATTTGCAACATAGGTAGTCCAAATGTTTGGAAATGCATGTGTGTATAATAGGAAGATGAATCCACGAGGATATCCATCCAAGACCTATGATCCAGGACCACAGCCACGACTCGCGATCCAGGGCTCGCGATCCAGGACAGAGGACCGCAGGATCATCCATGACTCCGGATCCCGGCGTATATAGACACCAAAAAGAAAGACATTTGGGGAAGCTGGGTTAATCGGAACATGAGAGTACACAGGTATAGACAGAGAGAAGGAAGAAGTAAGATGTCCCCCGACAAACTAAGCCTATATCAGCAAAACTAGGGGCTGAATCTAATCAGCCCTAACTATAAGCTTTATCAAAAAGGAAGGTCTTAAGCGCACTCTTAAAAACGGATAGGGTGTCTGCCGCCCGAACACAAACTGGAAGCTGATTCCACAAATGTGGAGCTTGATAAGAAAAGGCTCTGGCTCCCATTGTACTTTTAGAGACTCTAGGAACAACCAACAACCCTGCATTCTTGGAACGCAATGCCCTAGTAGGACAGTAGGGTATAATGAGTTATTTAAGGTAAGATGGCGCCTGCCCATTAAGGGCTTTGTAGGCGAGAAGAAGAATTTTAAATTCTATCCTGTGTTCTATAGGGAGCCATTGTAAGGCAGCCAGAACAGGAGTAATGTGGTCCCTTTTCCTAACTCTGGTTAGTACACGAGCTGCAGCATTTTTTAATCAGCTGAAGCGACTTGACTGACTTCTTGGTACACCCTGATAATAAGGAGTTACAATAATCCAGCCTTGAAGTAACAAATGCATGGACTAGTTTCTCTGCATCGTTTTGAGGCAAGATATGCCTGATTTTTGCAATGTTACGTAGATGGAAGTAGGCGGTCCTTGAAATTAATTTTATGTGGGCGTTAAAGGATAAATCCTGATCAAATATAACACCAAGATTCCTTACAGTCTCACTGGAGGCCAAATTAATGCCATCCATAGTTAGTATATCTTTAGATAATTTGTTTCGTAGATTCTTCAGGCCAAGTACAATAACTTGGCAGTCAATGGCAGTCTTGAATTTTATTTAGATGATTAATTTCATCAGGCTTGATAAATATAGTTGAGTATCATCCGCATAACAATGAAAGTTTACAGAATGATTCCTTATAATATTGCCTAACGGAAGCATATACAGTGGGGCAAAAAAGTATTTAGTTAGCCACCAATTGTGCAAGTTTTCCCACTTAAAAAGATGAGGCCTGTAATTTTCCTCCTAGGTACACTTCAACTATGAGAGACAGAATGGGGGGAAAGAATCCAGAAAATCACATTGTCTGATTTTTAAAGAATTTATTTGCAAATGATGGTGGGAAATAAGTATTTGGTCAATAACAAAAGTTAATCTCAATACTTTGTTATATACCCTTTGTTGGCAATGAAAGCGGTCAAACGTTTTCTGTAAGTCTTCACAAGGTTTTCACACACTGTTGCTGATATTTTTGGCCCATTCCTCCATGCAGATCTCCTCTAGAGCAGTGATGTTTTGGGGCTGTCGCTGGGCAACACAGACTTTCAACTCCCTCCAAAGATGTTCTATGGGGTTGAGATCTGGAGACTGGCTAGGCCACTCCAGGACCTTGAAATGCTTCTTACGAAGCAACTCCTTCGTTGCCCGGGCGGTGTGTTTGGGATCATTGTCATGCTGAAAGACCCAGCCACGTTTCATCTTCAATGCCCTTGCTGATGGAAGGAGGTTGTCACTCAAAATCTCACGATACATGGCCCCATTCATTCTTTCCTTTACACGGATTAGTCGTCCTGGTCCCTTTGCAGAAAAACAGCCCCAAAGCATGATGTTTCCACCCCCATGTTTCACAGTAGGTATGGTGTTCTTTGGATGCAACTCAGCATTCTTTCTCCTCCAAACACGTCTAGTTGAGTTTTTACCAAAAAGTTCTATTTTGGTTTCATCTGACCATATGACATTCTCCCAATCCTCTTCTGGATCATCTAAATGCTCTCTAGCAAACTTCAGACGGGCCTGGACATGTACTGGCTTAAGCAGGGGGACACGTCTGGCACTGCAGGATTTGAGTCCCTGGCGGCGTAGTGTGTTACTGATGGTAGCCTTTGTTACTCTGGTCCCAGCTCTCTGCAGGTCATTGACTAGGTCCCCCCGTGTGGTTCTGGGATTTTTGCTCACCGTTCTTGTGATCATTTTGACCCCACGGGGTGAGATCTTGCGTGGAGCTCCAGATCGAGGGAGATTATCAGTGGTCTTGTATGTCTTCCATTTTCTAATAATTGCTCCCACAGTTGATTTCTTCACACCAAGCTGCTTACCTATTGCAGATTCAGTCTTCCCAGCCTGGTGCAGGTCTACAATTTAGTTTCTGGTGTCCTTTGACAGCTCTTTGGTCTTGACCATAGTGGAGTTTGGAGTGTGACTGTTTGAGGTTGTGGACAGGTGTCTTTTATACTGATAACGAGTTCAAACAAGTGCCATTAATACAGTTAACGAGTGGAGGACAGAGGAGGCTCTTAAAGAAGAAGTTACAGGTCTGTGAGAGCCAGAAATCTTGTTTGTTTGTAGGTGACCAAATACTTATTTTACCAAGGAATTTACCAATTAACTCATTACAAATCCTACAATGTGATTTCCTGGATTCTTTCCCCCTATTTTGTCTCATAGGTGAAGTGTACCTAGGATGAAAATTACAGACCTCTCATCTTTTTAAGTGGGAGAACTTGCACAATTGGTGGCTGACAATCCTTTTTTGCCCCACTGTATACATTATTATTCATTTTAGTAAGCACTGGATAATGGTCACTTCCTACAGTGGCGTTATTTAAAACAAACCATTCACATGTATGAACCAAACAGTTTGTCACTAATGTCAGATCCAGGTATGAAACGTTCCCCCTGTGTACATCTACTCTTGTGCCATGTCCATCATTAAGGCATACTAGTGTTCTTTCCTCCAGCATTTCTTCCATTATATTTCCGTTACCGTATGGTTGCTGCCCCATAGACTGGTGTGTGCATTGAAATCACTAGGGATGGGAATTTGAAAGCAAATGTATATTCGAATATTCGACCCCCCAAAAAACGGTTAACATATGTACATATCCTATAAAAAAAAAATTGGGTCAAAAGAATAAATAAATACAAATGAGTATAGAAACCAAGTCGAATTTGTCAAATGTATTGAACTGGTGATCACAGTTTGACAGAAGGCCTACAGCTTTCATGCTTAAAACCTCAAAAACCTACAACAGGGCCTATGCACAGAATGCAGCAATTCAATAGGCTACTCATTCTTGTTTAAAAATATGAGCATGTCTACATGCTCAGGGGAGATGTGGTGCTGAGGCGATTCACAATCAGGCTAGCTGTAGAGAAGACCCTCTCAGCTGGAACGGAGGTTGCGGGTATAGCAAGGTATAGTATGTATATATAAGTTTCATTTGGCATAGTTTGACCTCTACACCGCACTCACTAACCTGGTCGAAATAGTTCCACACATTACTCCTTTTTAACGCCATGTCTGTGTAGGACTCTTCTTAGAGTGCAAATCATTACCGGACTATGACTGGTAAAATATTTTGAATACCGGCAAAACTAAATCTCTCCTTTCAACATTTGTTTGTACTTTGCCGCCACACACGGTTGCCAAGCAGCGTTTATTGTTGTTTAGGCTGGCCACTCATGTGTCGCGAGTGTTGACAGGGGGCGGGGGAGGACGCTCATGAACTGTTAGCGCCGGAACCTCGCAACGGCTGCGGAACGCATTTGCGCCTCATTTGGGCATAAGATTAGGTTTGAATCTGCGTGATCTGCGTGTAGGGAAGGACAGCAGCCATATCATTGGCTAGAACTAGCTAGATCTGATGGATTTGGACATAAACGCGAGTGAAGTATAACCGGATGCGAGAGAGAGAGATCAGCACCTGCAGCTGTAAGGGGACGGTGAGCGGAGCAAACACACCTTTAGACCTAACACATTTAGCTATGGCACTGTCGTATACATTGAATTATTAAATTTGATAATATGTAATCAACTTAGGCATACCTCCCAGAAATTCGTATACCTGAATAATTTCGATTAATCGTTCCCATCCCTAGTAATCACCACATCAAACTTCCTTCCTATGTTTATCGCCTGCTATTTCTTTAAATATGTCAGTGGTTAGATTTGGACATGGGTTGTATAAACTGACTATCCTAATGTGATCTTGTTTCCTAGGGTTGCAGATTTCCACTATAATACAGTCTCATCAGGAGATTGAATCTCCCTATATACCACACCATCTTTGAGAAATGACTGCAGGATCTCAGGTAGGCGAGAAAGGCTTTTTTGAGTCTCAGAGAGCAAGGTCCTGAACACAATATGTTTTTAGATGTAAACCTATCATCCACCACCCCGTTAGCAGGTGCCACTTGATTGACGTATATTCAATGAGACACCTCAATAATATAATACATTAACTGTGCTTTACGTGAACCTCTTCCTGACACAAGAGAGGATGGCAGGACTGCAATTTCCCGTGTTCAGTGAATGCAACAGAAGCAAGTCACCAGACCAATCAGAGAGTTGCATGGAAATACACGTGTACTTGTGTCATTCAAGCTTGGCTCTGTGTGTTTAAAGTCACAACATTTTATTAAACAACAATCTGCAGAGAAACTACTCTGCAGATTAATGAACAGTGAAACTCGCTCATGGATTTTAAGGTGAATACTTTAAGAAAAAGTTTTCCCACATTCTTAACACCACTATGATTTTAAGAATGTGTGAACACGAAGATGTGATTTGAGATGAGTTGATGTAGTGAACGTTTTTCCACACTCTTCACACCAGTACGGTTTTTCTCCAGTGTGAATACGGTGATGTTTTTCGAGATTACCTGATGTAGTGAACGTTTTCCCACACTCTTCACAGCTGTACGGTTTTTCTCCAGTGTGAATACGTTGATGTGTTATGAGAGCACCTGATTGAGTGAAAGTTGTCCCACACTCTTCACACCAGTACGGTTTTTCTCCAGTATGAATACGGTGATGTGATGCAAGAGCATCTGATGTAGTGAACGTTTTCCCACACTCTTCACAGCTGTACGGTTTTTCTCCAGTATGAATACGGTGATGTGATTTGAGATGACTTGATCTAGTGAACGTTTTCCCACACTCTTCACAGCAGTACGGTTTTTCTCCAATGTGAATACGGTGATGTCTTTTGAGATTACCTGATTGAGTGAAAGTTGCTCCACACTCTTCACAGCTGTACGGTTTTTTACCAGTATGAATACATTGATGTGATGTGAGACCACCTGATTGAGTGAAAGTTGCTCCACAGTCTTCACAGCTGTATGGTTTTTCTCCAGTATGAATATGTTGATGTGTTTTGAGATAACCTGATGTAGTGAAAGTTTTCCCACACTCTTCACAGCTGTATGGTTTTTCTCCAGTATGAATACGTTGATGTGTTTTGAGAGAACTTGATGTAGTGAACGTTTTCCCACATTCTTCACACCAGTACGGTTTTTCTCCCATGTGAATATGCAGGTGGGTCTTTAAATTTCCAGATGTTGTGAAGGATTTGTCACATTGCTGACAGCTGTGACGTCTCTCTCTTCCTTTCGGTTTCTAGAACAGATGGACAGAGAAAGAGAGAAAGTCAATCTAAAAAGCATAAATACACAAGTTAACAAAATAAAACTCACTTAAAATAAACCTTGAGTTAACAAAATACTACTTAACTGTGTTTATTATATTTGATACAGTAATACAGTTATATTCTAACCAAAGTATATACCAGAGGTGGGGGACTCGAGTCACATGACTTGTCTCAAGTCACATGACTTGACTCGCATATTTTTTGACTTGAGAGTCGCTTGACTAACATTGATAAAAGACTTGACTTTGAATTCATGACTTGAGACTTGAGACAGATGACTCGAAAGGACTTTAGTTTTTAAGATAAAATATTTGCATTGTACTAAGCACCTAGAGGGCAATGAAAAAAAAAAAAGAGAAAGTATCTCGTTCGCAGGAGAAAGTAGAAAGTGGAGCGCACAGGAGACAGCCGTTTCATTGCAGACTGTTATGTTTATGTGGGCAAATACATACATTATTTGAGATACATTTCAAACTCGGACTTCATTTTAGTTATTTGTTCAAGCACCGGATCGGCAAAACATTAGTCTGTGAACCAGTCTGCCTTGACCTATGTATTCATAGTGAGTCTGTGACTCAGTATTTGCTGCCCACAGCTGTTTTATAGAAGAAAAACCTCCTTCACTTCATGAAATCTCTGCAGCACCAGGAGGCAGTAACGTGTAACTCAGCAGAATCTCAGAAGAGCAGCACCAGCTGCAAAGAGCTGTGCCTTCACCGTGTTTACCTTCATTAGAATAGCTAACGAGCGACCGCAGGCTGCTACGTTTTAACCACGTGCACCTCTATACACACACACACTGAACTGCTCAATTATTCCCCGTTTTATGATTTCAGAGCCCCACTCTCTGTTGTTAGGAGTCTGGTGGACGCGCCGGTGCGTCCAAGTGCACATTATTTACGTATTTAATCATAGATTTTTGCTTGTAAGGAGTAGAAATATGATTCAGATATCTGCGGAATCGCTAGAATCGTAGCTTTTCAAGAGTATCTCCTGTGAGACTGTACCCAGGGCACAGCAGCCAATATTGCCGCTCAAAGCAGCTTGATTTGGCGTTACACTGTGTGTGATTGGTGGATTTGTGTGTCAGTCAAGGACATCTCGGCCGGCCGGCAGCCATGTCGGTCTGAAATGACCAATGGACACTCTAGAAATCTAAGGACCTATCCACCAATAAAAAAACATATAACAGGTGTCTCATATCAGTTTCAGTCTTTTAGTCTGTGAAGAAGATAGAGAAAATGGCTCGAAGGAACTTTACCGTTGCGGACGCGCTGGATTTTATTTTCACGAGCAGCAGTGAAGAAGATGGCTCATCAGAACCTGAAGGCTTCGACTCTTCGAAGAAGAAGAATACAGGGACAGCAGGGATCCATTTGAGGACGGGTAAGTGTAAATATAACTTGTAGTGCATTTGCCATTTTGTGAGGAGTACCGCGAAAATGAACAATGGATTTATCAACCTTTTGATTTTCCCCTCATGAACTTTTTCTCGGGACAAAATAGACTCTTGATTAGTAAACGTTTACTCTGTGTAAATGTTATTTATGTGTAAACGTTATTTTTGGCATGTATAAGTAAGGTTACATGTGTAGATGAATAAAAAGAATCCTTTATTCGTCCCACAACGGAGACATTTATAGACATGTATTTTTATTTGATCATACTGTTCTGTACAGATGAGACTTTGTCATCGACTTATTTACATGTGTGTCTGTGATAAACTTTATTTATGTGTAAACGTTATTTTGGTGTGTATAAGTAAGGTTACATGTGTAGATGCATGAGATAATCCTTTATTTGTCCCACAACGGAGACATTTAATTTATTTATATGTGTGCCTGCCATTTGTGGGGAGTGCTATGTAGTAATGGGGAGTACAATACGTGTGTGTGTGTGTGTATGTATGCATGTATGTGTGTGTGTGTTGCACTTCGTAATAATTATTGTCCCACAATTTTTATTTGTTTTACAGAGAGGTTTCACAGCTGCCTGGGCCTAGCGGCCCACAGATGACATTTATCCAGGAGCCACCAGCTGTGCCTGTCACCATGTTGAGATCTACCATGGATCAAGGGCCTTCAGAGGGTTGGCACCGATTCCTTCCTGGAGTTCAAAGACCAAACTAAGGCGATACGCAGGATTGGCAGCATGTCCTTTACCCCCGCTCCTCAACGACGCCCACCAAAATCACTACAGAGACGCGCACCATCTCCCCCGTCCTCATCACCGCGCCTACGTCAACCACCTCCCCCCCCTGACAGCATGTCCTCTACCCCCGCACCATCTCGCCCGTCTCCATCACCGTGCCTACGTCAACCACCTCCCCTCCCTTCAAGAAAGCATCTGCAGTCTCCGAAGCCTGATAAGGATGTGTGTGTCAGGCTCAAGGGCGTATGGCACTCTCAACTCTTTCCAGGACATGTCGGGCCCTGCCTGCCAGTAGCTTTGCCGATATCTGTGTTGATAGGTAATAGATTAAGAGCGGTGAATCATAGAAACAGGAAGCGCTCAAACGTTTGTGTGAGTTTATCTAATTTAGCAGTGATTTCATGTCAGCCACAGCTTGTCACAAAAAACATGACTGATAGTGTGTTTAACAAACTTAAACTAGCTTTATTAAATGTCAGGTCTTTGGCAGGAAAAACATTTTTAATCAAAGATTTTATCACTGAGCACAATCTCGATTTTATGTTTTTAACAGAAACTTGGATTGAACAAAATAACAGTGCAGCTGTTCTTATCGAATCAACCCCTCCCAACTTTAGTTTTATGAGTCAGGAAAGAATGCATAAGAAAGGGGGTGGAGTTGCTATTCTGTTCAATGATTCCCTTCAATGCAGGAAGACATCTTATGGAAACTTTGATTCTTTTGAATATGTGGCCCTTCAGCTGAAATGCTCCTCTCGAGCTCTGTTCCTAAATATCTATAGACCACCCAAATACTGTGCAAGCTTTTTTGATGACTTTACTGAACTGCTGTCTATGGTGTGTATTGACTTTGACCGTCTAGTCATTGTTGGTGATTTTAACATCCATGTTGACAACCCCCAGGACAGAGGGGCTAAAGAACTGTTTTGTGTTCTTGATAGCTATGGACTGACTCAGCATGTGACGGAGCCCACGCACAATAAGGGGCACACTCTGGACTTAATTATCTCAAAGGGTCTGAATATCTCTACGGTTGTGGTGACTGATGTTGCACTCTCTGACCATTCCTGTGTTTTCTTTGAGAGCTCTATTTCTGTTCACAAAACTGTTCAAAAAGAGGTAACCACAAAGCGATATTTAACTGAAAATACTAGGGAAATGTTTACTCAGAATTATTCTTCCACACTTGCTCCTGCTAACATCTCAGTAAATTAGCTAGTAGATCATTTTAATTCAAAAATTAAAAATGTTATAGATGCCATTGCTCCAACTAAGGTAAAGGAAGTGACTGGGAAGAACATATCTCCATGGAGAAAGGCCATGACCGTGAGAGCAGAAAAAAGAGAATGTCGAAAAGCTGAATGCAGGTGGCGAAAAACAAATCTCCAGGTTCACTTTGAAATCTATAAAGAGAGACTTGGCCTTTATAATTTGGAATTGAAAGACGCACGACAATGTTTCTTCTCTGACATCATTACCAAAAACAAAAACAACGCATGTGCCTTGTTTGCTACCGTCGACAGACTAACTAACCCCCCAGTGTCAGTAGCCTCTGAATTTCTATCCACCAGGGCGTGCAATGATTTTGCCTCCTTTTTCACTGACAAAATTCAGAAAATCAGACAAGCAGTCAGTGCCTCTGCATCAGGAACAGCAAATGTGTTGTCCCTATCTCCACTTAACATCATGACACAATTCCATCAGATTAATGATAAAAACCTAGAGGACATTATACAACTTCTGAAATCCTCCTCCTGCTGCCTTGATATTATTCCAACAGGATTTTTCAAAGATGTTTTTCCTTGCATGGCCTCAGATCTACTTCATATAGTAAACAAATCTCTTCACTCAGGTGTTTTTCCACAGGCCCTGAAAACTGCAGTCATTAAACCGCTCTTAAAAAAGAATAATCTAGATGCTTCAGTAATGAACAATTACAGGCCCATATCAAACCTCCCATTTCAAGGTAAAATCATTGAAAAAGTTGTTTTTCAACAGTTGAGTAATTTCTTCCATTTAAATAACTGTTTCGATGTGTTCCAGTCAGGCTTTCGTCCAAACCACAGCACTGAGACTGCTCTTGTAAAGGTCTTTAATGACATCCACTTAAACACAGACAGTGGCAGAACTTCAGTGTTAGTATTATTAGATCTCAGTGCTGCGTTTGACACTGTTGACCACAGCATATTACTAGACCGACTGGAAAACTGGGTGGGACTTTCGGAAACAGTTCTGAATTGGTTTGAATCCTACTTAAAGGACAGAAACAACTTTGTTTCTATAGGTAAATACACATCTGAGTTGACAAATATGACATGTGGGGTACCTCAAGGCTCCATCTTGGGGCCGCTTCTCTTTAACATCTACATGCTACCACTGGCTCAGATAATGAAAAACAACAAAATAAGTTACCATAGCTATGCAGATGACACACACATTTACGTAACCATTTCACCAGGAGACTATGCTCCAATTCAAAAACTGAGTAAGTGCATTGAACAAATCAATGACTGGATGTGTCAGAACTTTCTCCAATTAAACAAAGATAAAACTGAGGTAATGGTTTTTGGAGCCAAGTCAGAATGTATAAAAGTTAGCGCTGAGCTTCAGTCTGCAATGTTCAAAACAACAGATAAAGCCAGAAATCTAGGTGTAGTCATGGACTCTGACCTGAGTTTCAACAGTCACATTAAAACTGTTACTAAATCAGCCTACTATCACCTAAAGAATATATCTAGGATTAAAAGACTAATGTCACAGCAGGATTTGGAAAAACTTGTCCATGCTTTTATCTTCAGTAGACTCGACTACTGCAATG